TTATGCAGTCAAACTGGTTTTTACACTTGTGTTTTCTGAAATATAGTCCCGATAAATGAATTTCCAAATTAGTTTATTACCAAATTCTATGGAGGCACAAACCCTCTATTGTACGCTGCATTAGATTCTCTGTGTGTTCTGCTGTCAAAAATCTCATTTGGCAATTTTATGTGAAGGAACAGGGTGTAACAAACTTTGTGGATATAAATGTGAAATTTGAGACCAAACTGAGCTGGAAATAGCAATCAGGTGGACATGTTTTCTCTCGATCTACCAATTATTCATTTCAATAATATAACACAAGTAGGTTTGACACAATGGCCAGAATAAATCATCAGCTCACCCTGATAATGACTGGTGTTCTTCCGCTGTGATGTTGCTTGAATATTGGCGGCATAAAAACCACACTCACTCACTCACAATGATCCTAGGTTTGTCAATACCATCCCTGTTCTCATGGGTTTCATATTGGTCAAGATGACACACCATGTTGGAATAGCTCACTCACTCACTCACTCACTCACTCACTCACTCACATGCTTCTTTAGAAATGTCTTATGCATCATTAACTTACAGGAAATGAAGGCTTGCAAACCCTGGAAAAACAGCATTTCTTTAAATGTATTGTGGAATTTAGTAAGTCTGCCTTTATGGAAGCTGCATTATAATCAGGTTGGACAAGGGGCTTCGAGTTGATCAGAACATTCACTGGTACAAGGATAGAACACGGTACTTGCCCCTTATTTTAGTTTGTTGTTTAACACTTCACCCAGTAATTTGGCGGCAGTCTGTAAATAATTGAGTCTGGACCAGACAATCCAGTGATCAACATCACGAGCATTGATCTTCGTAATTGGGATACAATGACATGTGCCATTCAAGTCAGCGAGTCTTACCACCCGATCACGTCGTCTCTTATGACAAGTATGGGTTGCTGAAGACCATTTCTTTTTTGGATCTTTACGGATCCTGCAGTTGGGTCTTCTGTAAGGATGGAGTGAAGGAAGCAGACACAGTCTGGACTGTAATATTCAGTAATGGGGATATGCAGGAGGGATTACTGTCTCCTACGTTGTTATTTATCATTGACACATTTCCATAGGATTAGAGTGGGCAACTTTGATCAGAGTTCATCGCCTCATGTTGAGTAACTTGAGCATAAATAACAACAGTCTTGTTGATTATTTTGACATTTTCAAAGAGCACATGTAAGATTCAGTTTTCAATAAAAACTTATATAAGAGACAGCTGATATTTCTTTTCTGCATTGTTTGTCTTATTCCGTGATTACACATGAGTTAACATTTATTTCTACCTGGATTGTAACAAAATGTTAGTTCACTTCTTTCTGAAATGAGGATCATTTCAAAGACATTTTGATTTTATTATGTTTTATTTGGTCACATTCACAATTGTCTGAGATAGTTGATACTGTTCCAATGTGCTTGTAAATACAGCATGCCTGAATGCTGGACAAGGGGACTTTGTTGATTACATGGAGTAGTGCTCATAAGGTCAATCACTGGTATGTCAGGTCCAGACTACTGTATTAAAGGCCACCTTCACAGCTGGAATATTGCTGAGTGGGCCATGGAACACCAAAACTATATATAGTATATACTTAACTGATTTTAGTAACTGCGAGCTATCAGGTCCACATATTGGCCACCCATGAAGATCTGGGTTAGAACTGATCTTTGGTAACCCATGCTTGTCGTAAGAGGCGACTAGTGGGATTAGGTGGTCAGGCTCGCTGACTTGGTTGGCACATGTCATCGGTTCCCAATTGTGCAGACTGATGCTCATGCTGTTGATCACTGGATTGTCTGGTCCAGACTCAAGTATGAAGAACATTTAGTAAGAGTGATTCACAAGGTCAGTAAGAATCCTGGAGACACCATTGTTTGAGAAAGAGATATTGACTGCTGGGTAACAGCTGTGGTCAAGATGTGATACAGGGCCTTGACTTCATTGATCCAAAGTCAATATAAGTGGTTCACTGGTCACGAGGGGGGGCATGGGTTGATGTACCCTCGATGATTGTTTATGTTCTGCTTGAGTGATATCATGTGTTATACGCCCATGTAACACTATATCACAAACAATGTTTTTGCCCATGTAACGGGTTGTTCTGCTTGAAAGCTATCACATATTATACACCCATGTAAAGACCATTCTGGAAGAGATAAGACATGTTTTCACCCTTACAACAGACTCTTCTGATTGAGTGATATCACACTTTAAAATTTACATCGGGATAGGGGAACCCAATGTCAACCATTCAGGGATTACCTAATTTCATTTTCTCCAGGGGCGAGACGCTCTTTCCTGTCACCTGACAGACTTGGTGTGGTAGTATGTATCCAGTGGATGGTTAATGCGCACACTATCAGATGCTGGCGCCTTGCCTCATTACACCAGGCAGGTTTTCAGGGTCTGTCTCAGACATTACCTGGGAAACCATGTTGCTGACACCCAGACCTTCGAACTGACTCAATGTCAAGTCTAGGAAACAGGTGTCCCAATTGTATAGGCCACCAAACCTGCATCTTCATACAACCTGGAACACAATCACTGAACACAATCACGCGAGGATGTTGGTAACTCAACCGACATGCAGACTTTGAGTTACCGACATCCTCGCGCGATTTTAAAAATGCTTATTCTTCAACACATAGACATTAATAAGCAAATTCAGTGCATTGAATGTATTTGCATCATCAAGGTTTATCAGTGTGTTAAATAATTTTGATTGTATACACGTGGAAGACTGCTAATTCGAGGGAAATAATCGCCAAGCGATCTTACCTGCCGCCATGTTGGGATGTTGGTAACACACATTACCAGCATCACCTTAGGTACAGTGACAGTGATGTACTGAAATACTGGCTCATAGTTACATTATGCCCAAACTCACTCATGCTCTGTAGCACCCCGGGTCTATAGTCTCCCTTACCTGACTGTTGTACCTCAAGCCTGTAGTCTCCCTTACCTGACTGTTATACCTCAAGTCTATAGTCTCCTTTACCTGACTGTTGTACCTCAAGTCTGTAGTCTCCTTTACCTGACTGTCTCCTTTACCTGACTGTTATACCTCAAGTCTGTAGTCTCCCTTACCTGACTGTTATACCTCAAGTCTGTAGTCTCCTTTACCTGACTGTTATACCTCAAGTCTATAGTCTCCCTTACCTGACTGTTGTACCTCAAGTCTGTAGTCTCCCTTACCTGACTGTTATACCTCAAGTCTATAGTCTCCTTACCTGACTGTTATACCTCAAGTCTGTAGTCTCCCTTACCTGACTGTTATACCTCAAGTCTATAGTCTCCTTTACCTGACTGTTGTACCTCAAGTCTATAGTCTCCTTTACCTGACTGTTGTACCTCAAGTCTGTAGTCTCCCTTACCTGACTGTTGTACCTCAAGTCTGTAGTCTCCCTTACCTGACTGTTATACCTCAAGTCTGTAGTCTCCTTTACCTGACTGTTATACCTCAAGTCTGTAGTCTCCCTTACCTGACTGTTATACCTCAAGCCTGTAGTCTCCCTTACCTGACTGTTGTACCTCACCTCAAGCCTGTAGTCTCCTTTACCTGACTGTTATACCTCAAGTCTGTAGTCTCCCTTACCTGACTGTTATACCTCTCAAGCCTGTAGTCTCCTTACCTGACTGTTATACCTCAAGCCTATAGTCTCTGTAGTCTCCCCTTACCTGACTGTTGTACCTCAAGCCTGTAGTCCTGTCTCCTGTTACCTGACTGTTGTACCTCAAGTCTGTAGTCTCCCTTACTACCTGACTGTTATACCTCAAGCCTGTAGTCTCCTTTACCTGACTGTTGTACCTCAAGCCTGTAGTCTCCTTTACCTGACTGTTGTACCTCAAGTCTGTAGTCTCCCTTACCTGACTGTTATACCTCAAGTCTGTAGTCTCCTTTACCTGACTGTTGTACCTCAAGTCTGTAGTCTCCCTTACCTGACTGTTGTACCTCAAGTCTGTAGTCTCCCTTACCTGACTGTTGTACCTCAAGTCTGTAGTCTCCCTTTACCTGACTGTTATACCTCAAGCCTGTAGTCTCCTTTACCTGACTGTTATACCTCAAGTCTGTAGTCTCCCTTACCTGACTGTTATACCTCAAGTCTGTAGTCTCCTTTACCTGACTGTTATACCTCAAGTCTGTAGTCTCCCTTACCTGACTGTTGTACCTCAAGTCTGTAGTCTCCTTTACCTGACTGTTATACCTCAAGTCTGTAGTCTCCTTTACCTGACTGTTATACCTCAAGTCTGTAGTCTCCCTTACCTGACTGTTATACCTCAAGTCTGTGGTCCCCTTTCCTGGGTCTGTAGCACCCTGAGTTTCGTCCCTTTTACTAACTCTGTAGTTTCCTGGTAGTCGGGAAGGAGAGTGGTTAAAGTGTTTGCTAATCACACTGAATCTCTGGGTTTAATCCCCATGAGTCGACAATGTATGACGCCCAAGGCAGGTTTACCCAGTCTTCAGACGGCTGGAATATTCTTAAAAGCAGCACTGTACTCACGCACCTTTTGTATTTGTAGTTCCCCCAATCTATACCACCCCCCGCCACCCCACCACCCCCCCTCCCGCCAATGGCCCAGTGGTTCCTTTAAGAATCTTAAGTATTGATCAGATTTCATCATTCAAAGCTAAAACAGGTTTTTGCAATGTTTAGCATTAACTCTGCATGATTCTTTGACCTTTGAAAAGGGATATGGTAACTAGCCAGGGCTATGTGAAATATTTCACCATTTGAATTTCAAACTATTAACAATTTTAGAACATAAGATGAGTAGCGTAATGAAGTATGTAAGTCCATTACGTAGACATAAATGATTGCCACACTGATCAAGGACAGTGTTTAGTTCATATGGCCTTTGAAAATGTCGCATCTATATATGTATTTATCATGGCTTTTTTTTTTTTTCCACTTCATTCTTCCAGCTCTGATATTGTAATAGTTTTCTTCAGAATCTCATTTCATCTTCAGGTATGTGGAAGAACATGTCCAGAAAACAGGGGTTGCCATAGAGACGCAAGGATTCACATTCATTACAAGTGGTCGCAAAAGAGAGTCTCTCACGGTGAGGATGTTTGTCTCTTTGTGTTTTAGGTAACGGTAAACATGTGCTGAGGTATATTAGGTCAACTGCTATTTCACAGGACATCAGTACCGAGGGTCACATGATGTGGTAAACTATTGGCTAATTGGTTTTCTTGTGTGTTTCATAGGGAGATGAGACTACTCGGAATGAGGACGTTTTGTGCCACTTTTGGCAATATTCCCTCTTTATCATGATGTGCAACTGCATATCATGTTTGAGCACATTTTCTCAGGTTTCAGGTAGAGTAATTCTATAGGGATGTTTTATGGTTAATGCTGCATTCAGCAATATTCCAGCCATATGTGCCTCTAAATCATTTAATCTGGTCAAGACAATCCAGTGATTGATACGGTGATCCATCTGTACCCAAAAAACTTTGGAGTCTACTGGACCGATATCATTTCCATAGTTCTTATTGTTCATGGCACTAGCAAAGCTCACATGACCAAAAGACTCTGTACAAGACGAGGGCTTCCACTAGTGGCTAAAGTCACACACTGTCAGGTACAATCAAACTGGTCACCTAACCTACCACCCACTTCATGAAGTCATTTCAGCATAGGTTGCAGGGTAGAGGGTTAAAATTCGAACCCAGAATCCCATGGGGTAATGGTTTTATAAATGAAGCCTGCTTGAACACATGGGGAGGGTTTAACAGAGAGATAGATATGTAGTTTAGGTATACACTCAGCATGTAGAAAACTTGTGTTCCATTTGCCACCTGGGTATGTGTGGAACCCATTCCTTGTCCTTGTCATGACACAGACTCCTGTTTATGATGGACCAACAACTCCCTCACTCTTGAAATTCATCCTGTGATTATTAACAGGTAGTTAACATTGGGCCGAGTTGTTATTCGGCTTCTTATAGCAGTATATAACAACCCCAAAACATTCCTACACAATTATTAAATGATAGGGCCTTATGAAAGATTATTATTGCCTAAATTTATCACTATTAATTTTAAGCAGATGAAAGGTATCATGACTAAACTTACATTGATTTGAGACAGGGCCTAGATTTATCAAGCTCTCTTAGCACTAAGATAGTCGTAAGTTAATGTTAATGTATGGCACTTATGACTATCTTAGCTAAAGAGAGCTTTGAAAATCTAGGCCTTGGATGCCAACTCTGACACATTTCAACCAGTTTTTGTATAGGGACAGCTATTAACACAGTTGCCTCCCTTTGTTGCAAGGATCCTGTGATCATGGGTTTTAATTAAAGGTTTCCCTGATTTTAATCTTTAACATATAAAAATCATGTATTTTACCAAAAGAAATTAAATTCTTAACATGTGCATCACTGCGGGCTGTTTTAAAGACCCTGGTATGATTCCCCAGATGGGTACAATGTGTGAAGCCCATTTCTTTTTGGGGTATTGTTTTAAGAGGTGTAAAACCATACTCACTTAAAGTTACTGAGACAAAGCAGGGCTGTATTTGCCTCTTGATGCCAGTAGGCTGGACCCTGGCTATCTGAAGCACTGCATTACAACACCAGCTTAAAGGTTAGCAAGTGTTTAAAGTTGGACATGTGATGAACTGATGAAGCACAAATTGACTTTTGCATGTGCATAAATTCATGAATGTCCCATGTGGAATTACAGAAGTTCAAACTTGGCATGGGGACCCTGGGGTCTCTCACAAGTCTGAGAGTCGCATCCCTGACCCATGCCAACCATAAACAGCTACAAGCTTTCTGATGCAGCTGATTTCAAGAACACTCACTCCAGGATCTGCTGGTCATGGATTGAAACCCCAGACTGAACCCAATTGTCTTGTTTGTCTGGCCCCCCAGACTCTTGCTGCAGGGTTTCCAAGTGAGATGACCAGATGCAACAGCACATAATGGCAACGTGTTGTCATATAGTCAGTGTTCGCTGCAGGGTTTCCAAGTGAGATATGCAGTCAGTGTTAACGCATATAGTCAGTGTTAAGCTGCAGGGTTTCCAAAGATGACCAGATGCAACAGCATAATGGCAGCGATGTTGTCATATAGTCAGTGTTATGCAACCTGCGTATTTGACGCACCAATCATCTCAAATACGCAGTGAATTTAGAAGCTTGCTGTCATTGTGGACGCAATGCTACTGGGCCTTTAGTTCAGATAATCTGAACTTTTAAGACTAAATGTTTGCCAGTTAACTGCTCAGTGCTGATTAAATACCTGACCTGCCTTACGTTGTTTTTGGCGATATTAAACAATCACAGCTGATGTCTTGATGAAAGTCGGGCGGTGGGGTAGCCTAGTGGTTAAAGTGTTGGCTCGTCATGCCGAAGACCCGGGTTCGAATCCCTACATGGGTACAATGTGTGAAGCCCATTTCTGGTGTTCCCCGCCGTGATGTTGCTGGAATATTGCTAAAAGCGGCGTAAAACCAAACTCAGTCAGTCAGTCAGTCTTGATGAAAGTTCCAAACTGGCGTTGACTCCCCAAAACACGTCCCTGACTCCCTCTCATGACACCAGGGAGTCATGATGAGTACCAAATATTTATGCCTAGGGCAAACACTGATATAGTTTATATATACCGTACTGTGCTTTGTTAAACCCTACACAGGTGATGATACACCTGTAACCTTGTAACGGCCATTCCTCCTGCACGTGCAGCTTCTGTCTGAGAAAACTACTGCATTAAACCAAATCTGTCAAAGTATGACCGTTTTCCTCTCCAAACTCAAATTGAGGTTAAGGAGGTTGACAAGTATGTTTCCAGCCATGCTGTACGAATTTAGAAAAAGGTGACATTAAAAAAATATAACATCCAGCATTGCTTTCTTTGTTGAGCTGTGTTCAAATAAAGGTTACATTTCTTTATTGTGTTCCGATGGTTGCTTTCCAGTTAGCTTGTGGAGATTGAAATATGAATCAAGAGAGATTTGTTCAGCTGAATCAAAAAACTTCTTTTAACTTTAAGTACTTTAAGATGGTTAGTGAGTGGGGAAAAGAAAATGCTTGTGTGTTTATTGCAAGATGTGAAGTATTTACTTAGTAACATGTAAATGTATAAATTTACCTTTTAGAAGGCTTTGTGAGAGGTTTTCAATGGCAGGAGAATTTGGTCAGTTGATATTTATAGAATTAAACGATACTTCAATTTTGTTTGGTTTTTGTAATTTTATCAATGAAGTTTTCTTCGGCCTTTTTTCCTTCAGAGGAGTGATAAAGCACATTAAAGAAACTATTTTTGTATTCTTCTTATTGTTGATTTTGGAATTGTGTCAGTTGAGTCCTTAAACTTAAATGCTATTAAGTGTTGCCTGTGACTTGGTGAGGAGTGTCACAGTGTTTCCTGTCTGGCTTCCTAGACCCGTGAAGTGTGCTGGTTGTTACAGTGAGCCCACACCTGTCTGGTGGTGCACTCACTCACCCCAGGACGCATCCATCTTGTTAAGGCCAAGTGCAGCAGCAACAGCCTCAGGTCCCAGGTCATCACTTGTCATCATGTGTATCAAGTTTGTGGTTTCTCGGGTTACAACTGACAACAATCTGTCTGACTTAATGTGTTTCATTGATCATGATTAGAATAAAAAAAATATTGTTTAAGTTTCCGGCCTTTCTTGTTTAGATTGCTAGCTTATGAATGTAGTGGTATCTATAATATATTATAGTCTTTTAGTAAAGGTGCACAATTCACTTGGCAGAGTTGTGGCCCTTTGCTGATGTAGGATCTGATGATCTTGGATTTGACTGTCAGATTCACCTGACCTGCGAACATACGGGTTAGAATGGGTCTTCAGCAACCCAGGCATGTCGTTAGAGGCGATCAGGTGGTCAGGATTGCTGACTTGGTTGACACATCATATCCCATTTGAGTAGATCAATGCTCATGCTGTTGATCACTGGATCAAGTCCAGACTTGATTATTTATAGCTGGAAGATTGCCGAGTGAGGCAAAAAACAAAACAATATGTTATATTCAGATTTTATGATGATTGGTTTGTTAGAAGTGGTCAATGATCCAAGTCAGGTCAAATCAGATTCCACGCATTAGAGGGAAATCAGGACTACAGGATGGTGGGTTCAGTAAAGCTAATGATGCTGACAGCTAAGAGAGATCTGTTTACAGCTTGAAACCCCAGTTCTTCAAACTAAGCTGTGGGTACAGAATAGATATAGTAGACAATATTGACCCCCATCCCTTGCTCCATACTTAACCTACCTTAAGGATATTGCCCCATCCCATACACTGAGGGCTCACTACACCAAGGCCTATTTACCCTGGATAAAAGATATTTAGTTCCCTGCAGACAGAGGACATGTTTACCATGTCATGACCGATATGTTTTCTAGACATATCAATGAGTCACACCTTGTTTAGGAAGCTGAACTTACGCGAGCATTCAATACATTCATAAGACACTCCCAGGAGCAATCAAAACACTTCCATCTAGTGATACACTTTCCTACAGTCATCTGCTCCGAAGTGTCTGCGACCACCAACATGACAAACAGGTTGAGAATTGAGAGGTCCCCACAAGATGCTTCACCAGGAGTGTTCTCACTGATCATGACACATCACAAACATCTTCCAGTGTATGGGTTGGGGTACCCAATATGTTGAGAAGGCATTGAAATGTGCACTCACTCAGACTGGAGCTTACTTCACAGTGTTATGGCCATAATTTGACTTGTCTGTGGATGATCAGCTTGTGCAGCCATGTAGACAGGTGAGAGAAAGGGAACTATTGGCTTATATCCTTTGCAATATTTCTGGTCAGATTGTAAATGTGCTTTCTGGTTGCCGGCTGTGTCCCGTGTTGATAGAAGGTATCCAGTTATGTTCTGTTATGCAGTTTTGGATTATTGGCTTGCATTCTGGGTAATATGTCTGTCCAGACTCTTGATGTCTGTTTTGGATGTCGAGCGATAAACATGTCACTTAAATTCCTAATTGTTTAGATGGATTCTGATTGCATTTTAAAATCATGCAGCATTTTAAACTTGAATTTATGCAGTTTAAAATTTGTAGTGGTTAAATTTTATGGCACCACTGATAGAAATGATTGGTTAGACTAATGCCGAGTCTCTGAATATAGAATTAATTAATAAAAGTAATTCCTTTCAAATGTTTTAAGAAAGGAGACCCAGTGAGATGGGAGATTGAGAACCTGAGGGAATCTAGGTTTGCTTCATTTAGGGGTTCAGCATTGCAGAAAGCTGGGTGGAAGGGAAGATGTTGCAGATCAGGGACTGTGAGGCAGACTGCAGATTGGTTTTCTGACATCATACCAATGTTCATGGTATCATAGCTTTACTTCAGATCCACATCACTACTGGGTGGTTTACTGTTATTTAGCATCACTGGTGTTGGAAATTTCGACAGTCACTGACTCATAATAAACAGCTGTTCATACAGTCTGAAGTCAATGGCTTAGCCAGTCAGAACAGGGTGACCTGTGCAGATTCCATGTCAAAACAATTATTGGAGGCCATAACCATAGCTAGTTTTACTGATCAATTGATCAATGGAAATGCCACATTGTGGAGTTTAGGACAGCCCCATGTTCCTTCACATTTATTTGAAACACTAATCACCCCCACCCCCACCCCATAGCCTTGACAAGCAATGGCTGGAATGACTCTTGCCATTACATGTAAGATGCTAATCCCCATTGTACATTGACTGTCAGCCATCCTGAACAAGCTGTCACATCTTGTTATTGAAAGACTAAAGATAGGGGCAGTGAGGTAGCCTACAGGTTAAAGAGTTTGCTCGTCACACTGAAGACCTGGGTTTGATTCCCCACATGGGCACAATGTGTGAAGCCCATTTCTGGTGTCCCCTGCCGTGATATTGCTGGAATATTGCTAAAAGCGGCATAAAACTAAACTCACTCACTCACTCACTTTCTTTAGTATTGTGAGTGCTTAGTTTCCAGTTATCAGACATGAAGCTTGCTTGTCTATATTGCTCACTATTATTGTTATATGTATATATATTTAGGACTTACTCTAAGTCAGATGTCCTTGGATATACAAACCTTGGTACCAAGACCAAAATAGCATGTATGACCCTTAGCCGACCTCAAGGGCAAAGTGGTCTGAGGTAGACTGCCGCTTAGACCCTGAACATATATATAATTTTGATAGTAACAAATAAACCCATTTAAATTGAAAAGGAGCCCTAGTGAGTTAGGAGATCCTGAACCTGAGGAAATCTAGACTTGCTTCTCTCAGCATTGCAGAGAGGTCTAGGTGTAAGGGAAAATAATGTGGTTCAGGGACTGTGAGACAGACTAGGACTGGGACACCAACGCACCGGAGCCTGATAGGTTTATATGATCATTTAGTACCTGCTTGAACTGAATAGAATGTGAACTTGTCACGTACATTTATAGCTTACAACACCAGGCTTTGGCCTCTTAGTTGGCCAAAGTAGCTCTCTTTACCTCATTGTTTGTGCCATCCAGACTTGATCTGATGGGGAATTACAGGTTGCAGTATGTGCCTAACTCTACAGGCCTCTTGTGAGTGCAGACATTGAGAAACCGGTGGTTATCATGTGTTACCTGATGGTGTGTCGTCATGCATCCCAGCCAGCTGGGATTGTGGCTTGTGCTGTGAAATACTGATCTACCTGACCCAGACTCAATTATATACATGATGTATATACAAGATGACACGTTAACATTGTCACTCATTCACTCATTTGTGAAGCCCATTTCTGGTGTCCCCCGCAGTGGTGATGTTGGAATATTGCTGTGTTAAACTAAACTAGCTGGCTCGCTCTCACTCACTCACTCACTCACTCACTCACTCACTCACTCACTCACTCACTCACTCACTCACTCACTCACTCACTCACTCACTCACTCACTCACTCACTCACTCACTCACTCACGGTATCAGGCTATTCTCACATTGCTTAGCCTGTCCAATATCTGATGTAACATGAGAACTCAGTGGCTTTTATATGTGTTTCTAACCTAAGAACTCCCTAGTTCAGGCTTTGCTTATAGGTACAGTTTTCTGCAGTTACAGTTAAAGGGACTAATGATGAAAGTCATTCCTTTGATGTGATCTATAGTTTCTCTCAATCTATCCTCCTACATACTGTTCTATTTACTAACATCTTCATCCCCATCAAATGGGTTTGTTGGCCGTGTATCAATGGCTCCAATTAATCAGTGTCATGTTGCCCACAATGTGAAACCAACCATTTTTTATTAGAAATCACAATAAAAGAAACAAGATGGTTTTCTTTTAAACAATATTTAAAGGTGGGATTGGAAATTGTAAGTCAATGTTTGCTCAGGAATTTTTGGTTCTGAATTGTTCTTGTTGGACCCTGTTCCCACATTAAGCAGACAAGCTGGGATGAGACTAAAATAATGTGTACCTCACTGTCTCTACTGCATCCCGACTTGGGGCGGTGGGATAGTTTAGTGGTTAAGGTGTTCGCTCGTCATTGCCTGGATCTTGGTACAATTGCTGCATCATGAGGCTATTGCTGCATCATGAGACTATTGCTGCATCATGAGACTATTGCTGCATCATCATCATGAGGCTATTGCTGCATCATGAAGGTTGCTGCATCATGAGCTATTGCTGCATCATGAGACTATTACTGCATCATGAGGCTATTGCTGCATCATGAGACTATTGCTGCCTCATCATCATTAGGCTATTGCTGCCTCATCATCATGAGGCTATTGCTGCATCATGAAGCTTGCATCATAAGAGGGTTGCTGCATCATGAGACTTGCTGCCTCATCATCATTAGGCTATTGCTGCATCATGAAGCTTGCATCATAAGAGGGTTGCTGCATCATGAGACTTGCTGCCTCATCATCATTAGGCTATTGCTGCCTCATCATCATGAGGCTATTGCTGCATCATGAAGCTTGCATCATAAGAGGGTTGCTGCATCATGTGGCTATTGCTGCATCATGAGGCTATTGCTGCATCATGAGGCTATTGCTGCATACAGAGACTATTGCTAAACATTTTCTATATCTGTCTTGAAACATGAAGCATTTCCAAAGATTGAACACTGTTATGACAACATCTATATAATCTGATTCTGTCTTATTTCCAGGGCAATGCCACCCTCCATCTTTACCCTCACTTTGATCCTCTGCGGGAGATTGAAGGTAAGAGTAGTTAGTTTCTGGTAGTCATGGTCATGGCAGTTGTCTGACTACCTGTGTCAGGAGAACTTGCATCCTGGGCAAATAACTCTGAGAAATATCTTCTTGCTTACGAAGGACAATATTCTTGGATTATTGACATTTGAAAATTTCGACAATTTGGTAATTACAGAGTCAGGTTTAGTGTACAGTGTATTCCCAGTTATCTTTCATATATTGGAACGACACCCGCAACAAATTTCACTAAAATTAGAGACGGCCTCCGTGGTGTAGTGGTTAGAGCATCTGCTCAGAGAACGGAAGGTCGCGGGTTTGATTCCCGGCCTTGTCAAACCAAAAGACATTAAAATATGATACTTGTTGGTCCCTGCCTGGCGCTCAGTAGTGGTGGTCAGATTAATTGAAATAATCGAAGATTGGTCATAGTGACTAAACAACCAAGCAATCGATCATAATTTCTCATAATCGAACACAAACAATTCTGGAACACTTGTTTTCATTAACAATATTTTTCACATGGTTGGTTTTGTCTGTTACATTTCGTAAGCACTGCAAGCTCGTTTCAAGTCATGATTGAATTTATCTTAAAGATTCCAAGAAATTTGTTTCCAACATACTAGTCATCCTTTAAAGATGTGAAATTTTGCCCCAAAAAACCTAAAAGAACTACATGGTTTTTTTTCCTTATTCTTATGTGCATTAACAAATTTCATAAATGACGCTAACCAATTATTTTTGATGATTGATTTGTAGTAATTAACCAATCATCAATTATGAGATTTGAACCAATTCCCAACACTAGTGCTCAGCATAAATGGGTACAACAAGGACTGGTCGGCTCGGAGTCAGTATGTGTCTGAGTTGGATATGCATGCTTAACTTGGGTATGCATGCTTAACTGCGGCATTGTATCTCATTGGGCTAGCACTATAAAACCAGCTTAACTCTGGGCTAGTACAAGCAGCCACACATGCACATGCATGCATGTCATCATATGAACGAAACATCTCAAGTGCCATGTTAAACCCCATTTCACCTCACCTCACTAAAATTAGAAGTTTAAATTGGAACTAATAGTATGCCCTGATTCAGATTACATAGATTATTATCATTTAAAAAGAGGTCACTTCTCATCTCTTGTCTCTTGGGGTCGGTGGGGTAGCCTAGTGGTTAAAGCCTTGGCTCGTCATGCCGAAGACCCGGGTTCGATTCCCCACATGGCCACAATGTGTGAAGCCCATTTCTGGTGTTCCCCGCCGTGATATTGCTTGAATATTGCTAAAAGCGTAAAACTAAACTCAGTCAGTAAACTCTTGTCTCTTGATAATGTTGCTTTTATTAAGGTAAGTATTTTGCTGAATCGTCAAATATTCATGTTTGGCACAGCAGACACCCAACTCTCTTTAGGCCCACTATTGATAACCGTCTGTTGGCTGGGCAGCATGGCCGTCTGTTATGTTAGTCAAGTTGTTGGATAACATATGTTACCATTTGACAACATCAATTTTATGGACCGTTATTTCCCGGACCCATCATTTTGTAAAGCCTGATTAAAATTTCAAAGATATGGTGCTAAAAAGATTCCAGGAATTTTTTACTCCGGAGAACTTGTAAGCAGACATAAAAATTCAATTTTCTGTTCGTTTTGCATCTAAATTATTGATTAGACCCTGTCTGTTTGCTCTCCTTCACCTTTTTATAGTTAAAGAACAGGCTTAGGGCTCCCCATGTATTAATGCTATTCTGGCTAAGCTTAGTAATGTCTAGATGGGAGAGATCCAGCTGCCCAGGGGCTGGAGTTAGACCAGGGCTACACTAGAACTACAGTTGGGATTTAGACAGATTCAACCAGCTTGTATAGACAACTGTGGTCTGGGTCAGAGTTGCTTGGGCTTCATCTTTGTACTGGCAGACTGAAATGAGAATCAGTGGTTGGTTAGTTTTGTAACTGGCTGATCGTCTGAAGGCAGTTGGCATACCTTCAGTGACTGGTTTGCTGGTCCAAACTTTGTTATCTGAAGTCTGCATTGTAGTTGGAATATTGGTGACTGGTGTGAAATGATAGTTCAGGGTTTTACTCGACGCAAATGTGTCCAGTACGCACAAATGTAGAGAATGGACACAGAAAAAAATTCTCTGCATTCAAAGGAATGCACAATATTATTCACTGTACCTACACATCTATGGCTTTGCATCATTTCACCCATCAGTCTACATGACCATTCTCCATTAAAGGCTCTACAGTTTCAAAACAAACAGTTCTCTACATCGTTACTTCAGAGGACCCTCGTATTGCCTGCAAGGACCGTTAAAAGTTACAATTAGGGGTCCCTGGGACCCCCGTGTTTGTGAGTCGAGGTTAAACCATGCTGGTCAATCCCTCACATATGCTTACATATTTACGTGTTTTGGACACAGTTTTATATTATATATCCTGCATACCTTTACTTGTTTGTCAAATCTGGTAATTATTGCAAATGATTGTTGATGGAAGGGGATATTGTAACCATTTTAGATTGGCACCTTGACTATATGCTGGTTGTCATTAACAAACAATGCAGGATGTGGAGGGCATTATAACCAGAGCAGAAGTACTGAGCTAAGTCAAACCATTCCAGTTCACTTCAGACTAGGTGATTTATGGCATTATAGCACATAACTACAGTCATGTTGTGGCCAAAGAGACTTAAGAGGTGACTGGTTGAAGAATTTGTAAACCTTTCTTTTCTAGTTTTTAACTTTATAGATGCATCTTGTGATTGTGTTGCTGTCACTTGGACCCCTAGTCAAATGTTGGCCTAGCCCTACTGGTTGTGGCATTCAAGGTCATCATGACCACAGTGTCACTCTTCTCCTGTGTCACTCTAGCCTGTATCAGTGTACGCCCATGGGTCACTGCTCGTGTCACTCTAGCCTGTATCAGTGTACGCCCATGGGTCATTGCTCGTGCTGTCAACCACTCATGGGTATAGCCCAGACCCCAACATCTGGCGTCAACCTTTCTGCAACTGGAATATTGCTGACTGCAGCATAAACCGTTACAGACAGTTTGCCTTTACGTTGGAGCTGCTGATTGTGTGGGATATAATTATGCTGGATCTAAACATGGTGCTATGCAGTCCTTGACAGATGGGAGGAAAAATCCATAACATGTTGATCGACTCCCTCAAACAATGTGATCCCATACAAATGATGTGGAGTATGGTGGTATTGCAGTAAATTGTCATGACAAGACGTGATTGTCGGAGCTCATGTAGGTGTGCCACTTCCCCTATCAGATTCTTGGGATGTGAGTCGGCCTCCAAACATTTATTGTGCGGTTCTTTGTTTTTATTTCACAAGTGATGTGGTCGGTAGTAGTGTTTAAAGTGTTTGCTCGTCATGCCAAAGACCCAGGTTCGATTCAACACATGGGTACAGTGTGTGAAGCCCATTTCTGGTGTTCCCCGATGTGATATTACTGGAATGTTGTGAAAAGCGGTGTAAAACCAAACTCACTCACTTGTATCACTTGTATCACTTGTGGTGCTTACTGACTCCACCTGGGACTGCCCATGATGAGAAGTCAGGTTGAAATTAGTAGTTGATTTGGATTGTAGTTCTAATGACCTGAAAATATCATAGTGGTGATCCTTATCTTTCTGGGCTAGTCGCAAGATCTACATCATTTTGGACTTTCCTTCCAAAGTAAGATGACATGTTAAACCAAACTCACTCATTCCGACCCAAACAATGTGGATCATTACAATACGGTTTAAAACACTGAGGCCTGTTTTTATCACCCCAAACTCAATGTCAGTTGAGCTTATGGCATGTTGGCCATGTTTAACTGTTACATTTCAACACACACTAGGCTGTAGGTCCAATACTTTCTATGAAGTATCCTAACTGTGTTGTCTCCAAATACTGCACAAAGAATTCTGATCCACTGTCAGTTATATCAATCATGGTGGCCATATTGGAAATGTCAATGCTGGCCGTTTGTACGTATTTATTTATAAAATTTAACATACTGAAAGAATACCTGTGGTTTGGGAAGTAAGGTTTGTTTTTCGTATTTATTTAGTTTTCATCAAGCTATGACCATTGACCTCCATTTGTCTAGTTTTACAAGTTGCTGTGATGGCACTTGAATATTTCTGACATCAGAAACCTTCACCCACTGACAGAGGTGTTCACCTCATGTCCTGATCTGTTGACCTTTGACAACCACCAGGAAAAGCTGCATTGTGTTTATCCACTTAGGACAAATGTCTTTAGCATTATGAGTGCTTAGTTTCCAGTTATCAGAGGTGAAGCTTGCTCGTCTTGAGAGTTACAACTCAGACATTGGAAGGAAGTGGATGCAAAGCTATGGCTTCCAGCAAACCTATTTTAGTGAAGATTTGATATTGCATTTATCCTGGTTATGACACATGTCACTGGGAAGTTGCCAAGTAACTCACGGAGTTATGAAAGAAAATGAACTGATGCATCCTCATGAAAGCACTAGTAGTTTTGTTTATCAGCAGTCAATCAGCTTTCTTACATTCATGTTTGATCCTTACTTTGTTAAACTGTTTCATCCCATGTGTGCTTTCTGAGTTCTCTTCAGGAGCCAAAGAGGCAGCCAAAGAGATTACACGGTTAGATTCGGCAAATTAGTTTGTTGTGTGTCATACCCAGACGTGTGGCTTGGTGCTCACTATATCAACCACTGGCTTTTCTCATCCAAAGTTCATTATATTCTTTTTTATGATTACTTGAATATTGTGGAGTGCTGCATTGAACATGGCATGCCATTTCCTCACACATCTAATTTTACCTGAATATGGTTAAGATTGAGATCAAACCTGTATTAACGTTAAAGTTCAATCACTCACTCACCCAAGAAGTGATGAGGCTGGTGTTAAGTTGTATATTTAAAAGTTCTACAGACCCATGAAGATTCCTGTTAGAGTTAATCTTCAGCCACCCATGCTTGTCGGAAGAGGCGCCTCACGGAACTGTCTGGTCCAGACTCG